GGGTAATATGGAGAGCCAGATGTGGAAACACAATAGGCAAAAAGAAGATAACGCCAACCGAATCATGGGAAGAGGAGAGAGAAATGGTGGAAACAGGAGTTAGAGTTGAATGGAAACGAGTACTTGAAAAAATGGATAAGGAAACAGAAGAACAGAAAAGGGCAAAAATACAGAAAGAATTTGAGCAACAGTGGCTGAAGGAAGGGCTATTGGGAAAGATAAACGGAAGAACCCTGGTACGGCATGGTCAGCACCAGTGTGCTGTTGATGCGCTAAACTTAGCGCAGGGGCTGAAGCAGGAGCGCAGCATAGCGCAGATTAGCGCAGCAGCGAGCGGAGCAGCAGCGGCGACTAGCACGGCGGTTCCCACCGCCTGAGGTATCAGGGAGCGAGGAGATCTCTCCTTTCTCTCCCTCGCCAGTCCCCTCTCTCTCTCTCCTCTTCTTCCTTCTTCTTCTTCTTCTTCTTCTTCTTCTTCTTCTTCTTCTTCAGATTGGAGACTATACAGTTGGACAGAGATCGGAGTTGGATTTCGGTGATACGAGACTGTGGTACTTACCTGATTGGAGACTTGGAGATTGTTGAGGTTGATACTCGGCTGCATCACAGTTGGACACCGGTTACATCTGGACTCTGTTATCTCCGACATTGGTGACCTTTGGTCCTCGACATTTTGATCTTGTTATATGACATTCTGGACTACCATTTCGGCGACCTACCAGACTCTATCTTGTGACCTATCGGTGTGATCTACCTCCCACCTCCTTCGTCTCTCCTCCCACCTTTCATCTGTGAATGTGTGTACGGGATCTGGGTATCGTCTACGAATGACCCAGACCCCACCATCTCATGATTGTATGTGTGTGGAGTGATGCTATGTAAGTCAGTTGGTGTGAGTCAGTCTATGTGAGTCAGTTCGTTATCAGACTTCCGCTGCATAAATGCTCATCCTATATTGGTTGATCTTTGGTTCTGCCCATACTCATTGAAGTATGCAACAGAGCCTCAGCACTATGGGACTCCCTATTCTTGACCCCCTTCCCTGAACAACCCATCCAACTCCTCCTGACTAACATTCCCGAACAGTTCAAGAAGGCTGAAAGGATTTGGCTCGAAATCATAAGGAAGGTGACATTGTGGGTCATATGGAAGGAAAGATGCAGCAGGACGATTGAAGGAGTAGCCAACGCACGTGAAAAAGTTTGGACTGAGACCAAAATGATGATTCAAGCGGAGATCCTATGCAGGTGGCGGAAGATCAAACAATCATGGACAGAGGATGGGGACCAACAAAGAAAGGCGAGGTTGAGCTTCAGCAGAACCTGGCTGGTAAATGGTAAAGTGGCGGACCTAAGAGAAGATCGCATCTGCTTGAAAAAATGGCACAACTCAAGTTCAGGGAGGGGTGACCAGCAACATACAGCAGTGGAAGGACACAACATACTCTGACCAGAATGACCACAAGAGAGATCGATGGCTGCAGCATCAGAGCGACGGTCCAGAGAGGAATGCAAGGGGTGCATAAACTACAGAAATGGAAAACGCCACATTGCCCAAGGTGTAAGGAGGAAGGACACCAGCAAACTGTAAAGAAGGGCCCAAAGTCCAACTAAGCTTGGACAAGGGACGAGTGACAACAAACACCTCTTTAAGAAGCCTGCAAACTTCTCAATTCTCTCCAGCACAGCACGCCGAACCGACAGCAGTATAGCTGAGAGGAGCAGGACTGAGGCCAACCAGAATAGTAAGAACCAACTAGTAAAAGCAGGCWAACTTATGCAGGGGTAAGGGGGGGTATATCCTTCTGCAGGGAAGCAATCAATGGCGCCCGCTTGGGCCTCTCAGCCATAATGGGGAGGACCRTGTGTGAGTATCCAAATGTATTACATACTGACTTGCCGCGGGAATAGGAACCGGACTGTCGCTCCCCAGAATGGTAGGAGCTGAACCAGATGGTTCTGACGAACTGTAAAAAAAAAAAAAAAAAAAAAAAAAGTTACCTGAACGATCCTAACTGGAACAAACCCGGCCTCAAAGGATGGGCAGAACCCAGCCCATGCGGCTGAATCGTAGACACGGGTCAATTTGATCGTGATGTCGTCCCATATTTTGAAAAATAGAAAAAGGCAGGCAATGGCATGAAATAACTTATCAATAAGTTACTTGGGAAACTGGAGCTTCCCCTTTTGGAAACTGTTCCATTTTAAGAATACCCGAATTCGAGATTTCATTTTCCGACGGTTCGATGCGTACTGACAGGTATTGTGCCTCGTCACAAATGGAGCAGTCCAGCCCAGGTCTGTACGACTGATCTGAAACAAACCAATGTWAGAAAAGAACAGAGGATCGCTCTTGAAAGCAGACCAGAAAAAAAGAGGTCATGAAAGTAAGATGGCACAGACAGCAAATGGTAGCRAGCAAGACCTTGTAGCCTCCATCACTAAGGCAAAGCAACTGAGATTTCAAATAAAACTGCTAAGAAAAGAACAACGGTTCTTTCTTGAAAGCGGAACTGACGTGGGAAGGAGGGGGGTTCAGAAAAGTAGGATGGCATGAACATCCGCAAACGGTAGCGAGCACGAAGAGATCCCAGAACCCTCTATCAATTTGCCCCTTCGTTTTCCATCCATGCCCTTGTCTTGAGTGTCTTTGCCTGCTCTCCCATCTTCTCCTGCTCTCGCATGCGTGTGCGCACACACACACACACACACACACACACACACACACACAAACATAATCAGTTTTATGTCTGTCTTTTTCCCTCTTGTTGTCTGTCTTCCCTCTGAAATTTTCCTATTTTTACTTGCCCAAATGAGCACCGTTGAGTAGTGCCAAACAGTCAGTGGTTCCTCGTTTGGAGTGCCTACTACATTCTTAGGGGGGCCGCTCAGTTCGGGATGTCTATGTTGCCTGTGGGTGAATATTGGACGCTCGTTGGAGTGACTCCCTGGCTCAATGGGTGGTGGGAACCAACAGTCTGCGRTGTTCAATTGTGATGTGAGTACGTGATATGCGGCTTCGCTCCGTGTTGGATGTGTGGACTGCCTTGTCTGCGCCCTGCCGCTGCCTTGGTGCATCTCCCGCTTGCTTCGCATGTGGTTCTCTCCAAATTGCTGTGTTCGCTGTGTGGTGTGGCTGTGTTGCTGGTGTTGCCTTGCGCTTCGCTGCTCCGCTGCCCGGCTGCTCATCCACTGGTTGTGCCTTTCATGTTTTTTGYTTGCGTGCCTTGTAGTCCGGTTGCCTTGTCGAGGTTGCCTTGTGCCCCACAACATGGTTGCCGTGCTGCTCGACCGCTAGCCTTGTCATTCCCTGCTGTATGGTTGCCCTGTTGGTGTTGCCTTGTGCTTCACTGCGTGGTTGCCGTACTGCTTGTCCTGTGTGCCCTGTCGTTCCTTGCAGTCGTTTTTGGCGTTGCGCAGCTGTGTTGCCTCTACTGGATTGCCTGGTGCTCCGCAGGGTTGTTTCCCGCTGATGTGTTCCGTTTGGGAGACAGTCTGCCTGCAACATGGGTCAAAAGGTTCATGACCCAAACCATCCAATTCGAAGGCTCCGCAGATTGTCGAGGGTTCAGCCTATTGATGAGTTGGTGAAACTCCGACGAAACAGTCTGTCATCATCCGTTTTTTTTTTGTTTTTCCGCTCTCTGCTTTTTCAACTTGGAACTCTATGCCTCTTCCCTTGTTGCTTGCTGCTTGTCTGCCCACCCGCCTCCCGCATGTCATCCACCCTATGTGTCGTGCAACTGCTAGTTGTCTAATGCCTTATTGCTTGTTGTCAGTCGACTCACCGTGTCTTGCCTCTGTGGCCTTCGCAGGACATTCCATGGGTATCTGTGACGGACGCAGGAAAACACCTCATGCTGGTTACTATGCCAACAATGATGGCTATGCCATCAATGTTCTCCCTTCTCCCTCTCTCTTCCCTTCTTCACTATCTATCTTGCGTACTCTTCTTCGAGGTGCCCGCTATATTCCTTTGGTCTTGTCTGCAGGGACTGCTGGTTTGTGGCTTTAGTCAATCCTACGGATGGGGAGTGCAGTGCAAACAGTATATGTGTGGATCTATGTGGAGGTTGCCATGTTCTCCGATTGCTATGGTTGCTTATGCTTTTCTATACACACACACACACACACACACACACACACACACACACACTCAGTTTTATGTGTCTTTCTTCCTTCTTTTTTAAACAAGTGTGGCCATGTCAGGTTTTAAATGCAAAAAAAAGAAGTGACCTGTCGCCTTTCCTGGCCCATTGGGAAGTGGCAGTTCGGACACAGTCACAATTAAAAAAGAACATGAAACAGCAGTCTACACACCACTCGCCCCCACCTGCAAAAAACCTTACACAGCTTTCCGAGAGCCACAATGTGATTATAGCACCTATTCAAACTGGCTGTGTTTGTTGTGCGCATTTGAAACCTGACCATGACTGAAACGTAGTTACCCCTCTTTTCTTTTCTGTATGCCTTTCTTCATGGTTTTT